AAGTGGAAAATGCCTGTCCGTACAAGTGTAGAGGACACAGAAGAAAGGTCCAAAGTAGGCTATTAGTTGTATGTTGTTCGAGAGAAAAATACTGGTAGAGAAGTTGACTTTTTCAATTTACAGGACTGTATTGGTGTCAGCACGGAAATTTTCCGGTCCAAACTGGGCCTGGAAAAGTGCAAAATGGCTGATACATTGACCCAGTTCTAATATAGATCGTCAGTTGGCCTTTTTGCGCCAGTGGTCAAATGCCACTGGCTTTTGTCCAACATTTTTCGAAACCAGCAGCACTTATTTTCGACGTTGCATCAGTATCGCTTTCAAAAACAACTTTTACGGAAATCAGCCTCAAATGACCGCAAATCATTTTCAAAAAATCCATTATTTAACATACACGTCGACTTTTCCAACACGATGTTTTATATGAAAAAGAGTGCACTTCAATGCTTTCACCAGTAGAAGAAACTAGAGGTCTGCTACTCTAAAGGTTCTCTAAAAATGAGCAAAAATCTAAGCGCGGTTTTGAAAAAATCAACAGCCAGGTGAACTCATACAGTGACTATTAATGGATATTATAAGCTTATTATGGCTTTTGAGCAGAGTTGACACAGTTTCATTGCTCACATTCAGCGGCAGATCGTTGCTCTTGAGCACATGTTCAGGAAAAAAACGCGTTGGCTCATTCGCGCTTTGACGATTTTGAAAATATTGGAAATTATCCAATTTTTAAAACACAAATTGATGCAACCAAGTGCGAAATGGGGTCGATGCTTATTAACAGCTTGTGTAATTTTCATTTGAACTCCCATTCAACATTCCAAAAAACCACAAACTTTACTTTAAAAAATTATGACTTGTAAACTAGAATCAGTAGCGACTAGGAACGGTTTCAGGAGAAAAACTGTTTTTGTGGATGTTTTTTCCGCCTTTGCCTCTTTCGACGTCCATCCAAACCGCTCACTTCTTAGACATTCAACGTCTTTGTGCATCAGAAACCAAGCAATTAGACGTTTTTATCCAAAAAGCAACTATCTAGAATTACGCGGCGAATTTCGCAGATAAAATCTTCTGCTCTTTGTCCAAACAACGTTCAACGAAATTAGCCAAGGAAAAGAAACAGACCGACAACACTGATTACGCATGAATCACACTCCAATTTAGACAAACGAAGGCCGAAACGGACATAAACATAGAAAGTGGACAACGAAAAGAATCAGTTAGAGCAGACAAAATTATTAGCAACCCAGTCAAAGCAGCTGCAACAACAATTAATAATCTAGTCAATTTAGATAAGCCAATTAATAGTTGCATCCTTAACATCAAACGATCAGAACAACAATACAAGTTTATTGTTGTAACGAGTGCGGGGCAATAACATTTAAAAATCAGTTTATTTTAATTAATCTTTCGCGATAGCGACGAAGGAGCTGGATGGGGGCTCCTTTTATGGGTAAAACGACAAGCCAGAGGTTAAACAATGCAGGACATTCAAGGCTGGATTGTACCGAAGACTTTTACCAGCAGCTAGGTGAATGTTAGCGGCCAAAAAGAACTGTTTATAAACAAGAGTTTACATTTAGGAATGTTTTCCAGGCTTTGAAGCCGTGGTCTATCGGAATTTCTTCCTGACGTTTCGTGCACAACTGCGCTGGACATTATCAAAGGCGATGAGGCAGTGGGCGAAGTGATCTCCCGTGCTTTCCGACTAAGACTGGTTCAACTGCTGGATCCAGTAGTGCATCTTCGGGATTTAGACCATGGTGGAGGAAGGTTTTCCCTGATGTTTCGCCAGCACAAGTGGCTGGCATCTTCAGCGGTGGGTTGCTCAACGCAGCAATCGCCTCTGAAGACGCCAAGCCATTGGAGCTTGCATAACGTTAGGAAGACATTCTTTTCACCATCGTCTAAAAGCTTGAAAAACTTAACAGTTGGGGCCCGACACTGGTTTGGACGCAAAAAATATCAATCCGAAAATCAGAGATCTCAGATTCGCTTCAGTATAAACTGATTTTTTTAGCCGTAAAGGTGTCAACTTGGCACGTAGCAACGCGCTGGCCATCTTGCATCTCTCTCGGGCTTTTATGGGTGCAAGGGAGACTTCCGATGCCAACTGCGTTCTTGAATGGAAAATTCAATTTCGCTTGATTCATTCGAATGAGAAAGTGTTAATCATTTCATTTAGTTTGATCTGTCTTTTAGCCAACCAACTCTCCGTTCTTTCGAGTTATTTTACTTAATCACAAATAGATGCTCAA